AAAATACATCTATTATTGTTAATAGAGGAAGTAGAATTTAAAGGGATCAATCAGTAGAGCGGTGGAAAGTTCCGGACCAAATTATAGTTAGACAAACAAAATGGGGGAGATTGCAACAGGCAAAGAAATCGCTCAGGAGAGTTGACCTAAAAGGAGACTGGGGAGGCATTAACCTCAAAAGAAAAGAGAGAGAAAAGGAGAGAAAAAGGATCCTGAGAAAACTTAGAAAGATGAAAGCTTAGACATCAGAGAGAGTCGGAGTACCAAGAGAACCAGAGATTTCTTTGGACTAGATCGTCTTGAAGCTGAGTCAAAGAATTTGAAATGCATAATGTCCAGGTATTTTTTTTTTCTTTTGAACTGCAGCTTCTTGTCTTAGGGTATCGGTTCTGGAGGCCTGGGTTTTCCGGGAAGATAGACCCGAACTTGTACTGGTAGAATGGTTGCATAACACTGATTGTTTGGTAACTTCTGTTGAGTTTATCTTTATCCTTTCTGGGGAAAATTCTTCTTCAATGGATGCCTCAAACTTTCTTTAATTAAATTTATTATAAGTGAATTAAAATTTTTAAAAGGTCCATAATACCCTTAAAACAAATTTAAATTTAGTATAATATTTTTGGATAATTATTAAAATTAAGAAACAGAAGACATAACTCAAAAAAACCTGCGTATTAATATACGTAATTTGTTAAAGAACCAAAAAAATTTAATTTATCATTAGTCTCACTTAGGTAACTATTAAAATTAAAAACAGAAAACATAACTCTACCTCCCCTGTCTCTCTTTCCCCTGTTCGTCCTTCTTTTTTTGTCTTTAAGATTCTTAATATGGTGGTACAATTCTACCACCACCACTAACCAAAATACCATTCAATTTGATCAAACTTTTCAATTCAACAGAAACAAACCATTTAATAGGAACATAACCTCCATTAGTAAGGGACATATTCTCATTGATAGTTTAAATTTTACAATATTAAAAACACGCTTTAAATCTCCTCTAAAATTTTCTATTATCTCTAATAACTCTTTCTTAATCTCACAAGAATTTTCTCTCACCTCAATTTACAAGAAGTCTCACTCCCTCAAGGTGTATCTCTAGCCCCTAATAATTTTTCTATATTCATCTCAAGGTTGCTATGCCATATTTATAATTTTCTTAGGTAGAGTCAAATTACTATTAGGAGTACAAATCCAAATACTGCTAGCAGATTCCATATACCGTCAAATGGCTTTCAATGGTCTTTGAAGATTCCTTGAATATTAGTAGATCAAGTCCCCTCCAATTAGAATTCCAAATTTAACTTATATTCTTAATTTGGAAACCAAGAAAATTCTCATGGAAACACTTCCAGTTATGCAGGGTTCAGGAACCTTGCCAATGCGTTCCTGAACCCCTGCTAGTTTTCACCTCTTTCTCGAACTCGAGGTTCCAGAACCTTGGGCAGGGTTCTGAGAACCTCTTTGCTGCTCGTTTTTCCTTGGTTTCTTCAAGTGATTCAAGGAACTTTCACAACACATGAAAGCTTGTTTACGAGCTAAATCTCAGCAATTTCAGAAGGCTATCCAGTAAAACAACATAAGAAAACATTACATCACTTAAATACCCAACAAAAATCAACAAAGATGGTCTTCAAGTTCCATTCAATCTAAAGTGAACAGTGCAGCTGCTGATGGCACAATTCAACTTCCTTTCTTCAAGTTTTCTTAATAGAGTTTAACAAGTGAGTGCCCTTTCTTGGAACTTTGTGGCTAAACTGATGCATGTTATCTTGACAGCCTCGGAAACCAGAAGTTTAGATCATTTGAGATTTCAAACTTCAAATTGCAATGACAAGAATTTGCACAAAAAGGAACCTTCCTAGCTGTACAGTTTAGGTGCGGTTCTAACCCAATAA